CCAACAGACATTGCTCGGTGATGTCAAGGTGATTCGTTGATGGTGTTGGTTGCCGGTCGGAGCAACGGTAATGAATGCGGCAATGGTGGTTCTTTGGATCTCGGTTAGACAGAAATTTTAATTGAATAAAAAAAAAAGTTAATTTTTTATTCTGCTTCCTCCAATAATCCGTTATGATCTTGCCCTCTTCTCAGTGAAATACCAAGGCAGACTCCCCCTAACACTTCCATAGCCACCAGAAAATAGACTTTTTAAGGACACCAATGCGGGGAATTCTAATGTGTTGTTACAACACCCATACTGCCAATTAATTGAGCTGATTTAGATAGGGGGATTGAATTTTCTATCAACTAAATAATGTGAATGTAAGGATCTTCTTACTATTCTCAAGGTATTTACGCTCCAATAATATAAATATATATCCTAATTTTTTTTAATATATATATATATATATAGAGTGAGTAAGAAAACCCTAACCCTTGATGAGTGAACCCTAGGCATTAGTTATCTAAATCATATAGCCTAACCCCTAAGATTATGCATCTAATTTGTTTCATATATACTGACGAATCATGACCGTCGATTTTTTTTCTAATTAAATTAATCTTATAGTATGAGATCTGCAAAATTAAGACCTAGATTTTGATCTTTAATGGTTTGGAAATAGTACCAGATGCCAGTGCAATTAAAGGTCTAGATATCATTTTCTTACTCAATGTATGTCATACCTTTGATTTTATCAAAGGTATGTCTATATATGTATGTATCATGTATGGCAAAGGCTAGCGTACGCTTGTGTTCACACTTGGTTTTTGCCTTTCAATATATTTCGCTGAATCAGAACCGTCGGTTATTATTTTTCAGATTAAATTAATCTTGTGGCTTGGGTTAGAGAATTTGAGACTGTGGTTCACCAATTAGAGGTTAGGGTGTAGTATCATGCCCCAAACACCGATTAATTTGTGCTCTAAATAGTAAAACTCGATGGGCGTACAATGTATGACTGGCGTATGCTAGCCTGAACCATATATATATCGATGGTTATATCATACACCAGGCAAAATCTGGTGTATATCGTACACCAGGAAACATCCACCATCCGCGTCCATCTCAACGACCAACATAAATGAGGTAATTTATTTTTTAATCTCACAAAAAAGAACCTGCATTAATATTGGTCGATGGACGTGGATCGTAGATTGCTGGTGTACGACATATCCCAATATATGTATGGTGTACGATAGAAGTAATCATATATGTGTATGTATGTATATATACATACATACATACATACATACATACATACATACATACATATACATATATGTAGGCTTCTTTCGTACCTTAGGTAAAATCATGAGTACGATAAACCCTAAGTAAGAAAATGCTATCTAGACCTCGAAGTAACCGGATTTTTGGGCATGATATTATACTCTAACCCTTGATGACTGAGCCCTAAGTCTTAGTTATCTAAATCATAGAGCCTAACCTCTAAGATTGTGCATGTAGTTTCTTGCATATATTTTGATGAATCATAGCCGTCGAGTTATGTTTCTGATTAAATTGATCTTAGTGTGTGAGATTTGTAGAATTAAGACCTAAATTTAAACCTTTAAGGGTTAGAGAATAGTATCAGATGCCAAACTCCAGTCAATTCAAGGTCTAGATTTCATTTTCTTACTCAATGTATGGCATACCTTTGATTTTACCCAAGGTTGTTAACCCGGAACAACCTGTCAGCCCGGTCAAGCAGCTAGGTTCCGGGTTAGTGGTTCAACCGAGGGTCAACCCAGATTTGACCCAAAAATTCATTTTTAAATTTTTATACCTTAAAATTATCCGGCCCACTTCATAAATATCTAAAAACCCAACTTAAAAATATTAAATGCTCCAAACCACTTATTCTTTCTCCCTCTTCCTTTCCTTTTACTCTTTCTTTCGCCAGTTTCAATTACTCTTCTCCCTCTTCATTCTCTTTCCCTCCTCCACCTATCTTTTCCTTCTCCACCCCTTTCCTTTCCTCTCCCTCTAATTTGTGTTTCATTTAATAATCTTTTCTCCCTTCGGTTGGCGGGGTGAACGGGAGGAACAAGAAAGATGGGGTGCGCGGTTGGGGAGCGGAGAAAGGAGATCAACCTCGTGTAGATGGAGGGAGCGCCGGGAGCGGTTACGGTGATTACTACAAATAGTAATCACCGTGGTTACTAAGGGTAAATTGGGTATGGAAAAATAAATTATATTAATTAATTAATTTTAATAAATAACATTTTAGGTAGTTAGAAAAATCTATTAATTACAATTCTTTTTCTTTCTCTCACTTCCGTAATCTCCAGCCAAACCTCCTTTCCATATTTTTCTCAATTTTTTTGCAAAAGAAAAAACACGAAATCACTACCAATCCATTAGAAAACCACTACTATTTCGAAAAACATCAATACCATTACAGAAATAAATCTATACCATTACACGAAAACTACCAATATAAATAATCTATACCATTACAAAAGTCAAACAAATACCAAAATAACAAATACCACTACTACTGTAAAATTAAAATAATATCATTGCATAAATAAATCAATACAAACACTACCAATACAAATATAGACAAACTACCAAAGTATAATGCAAACACTACCAAACCAAATGCAGATAACTACCAAAACATAATGCTCCATCTAACCAACACAAATGCAAGTAACTACCAAAGCGTAATGCACACACTACCAAAGAAAATGCAGGTAACCACCAAAACATAATGCAAACACTACCAAAGCATAATGTAAACAGTACCATAATAAAATGCAAGGTAGCTACCAAAGCAAATCCTCTACCAATGCAAACACTACCATTCTAGATTACCTGCAGAAGCAAAGTTGAACGCTCTCTGGCAAACTGTATTTGATCTCTCCGATCGGGTTACCATTTCTAACCACGACCTTGACCGGCGATCCATGTTTGGAACCAAACGCCGCCGTCAGCAACGTCGGAGGAAGATTCAAAAGTGGCGAGGCAATGGAGGGAGGGAGATGGGGGGGGGGGGGGGGGGGGGCTAGGGATGAAGGGAGGGGGGATGGGAGGTTACGAGAGAGAGGAAGGGAATGGAGGAGGGCGGTGGAGGGGAGGTTGGCTGGCCGGACGGTGGTGGAGGGGATTTTGGGGAGGGAGGGCGGACGGCGGGAGGTAGTGGGGGAGGGAGTGTGGTTGTAAGCGTGAGTTACAGTAGGGTTAGGGTTTGGATATAATTTATAGAGTAATCAGGTGTGGTATATTTTTTATTTCCAAAATTACCCTAATATAATCTTCATCATTAATTTAAAAATAGAATAAAAAGGAAATAATGAATGGTTTAGATTAAGGTAGCCACCGTGATTACTAAAAATTAAGTAACCACGCTAACTCATCCCACGGAGCGCCTGAAAATACGCTTTAGAAAGAGGGACAAAAGGACCTCAAAATCCGCTTGCATTTGCTCTCCGATCTTCTGTGGCTCCCGACGGAGATGACATCAACGAGTTTATGGACAACTGCGAGTCTGCTGCTACAATATGGGAGGAAGAATTAAGAAAGAGGCGGTGCGAGAACAATTGAAGGAAGGGTATTTAGGGTTCGCAATCGTTTATCGAAGCCCGGAGGAAAACAACTCCAAAGTCCAAACGACACGTATTTACGCTCAGCCCGAAAAGCTTTCAGCCCAATCAAACTGGTTAGTTTTCCCTGAGTTTGACTGGGTTTGACCATATCCGAGCGAAGTCCTCATTGGGTATTTTGAGCCCTTTTTTACCGGGTCCGGGCAAAACCAGTCGGCTCAGTGGGTTGACTTGCGATTTGACAACCTTGATTTTACCCAAAATAAAATAAAACCGTCTATATATACATATATAAAGCCAGATACTCATTACTGTTCACTAAGATTTGTGTGATAAGTTAGTTGCATATATATCTTTAAAATGGGCCAGCTTTTGGGATTTCTTAGTAACTATTTGGCTTAATATTAATATTAATATGCGTATGTATATTGTTTGTTCTAAAGTCTGTTGTAGTTTTACATACAATATGGTTTCATATCGCCTCTTTCAATTTTTATTTATTGTCGTTCTGTATTGAGATCAAGTTTCCATCTTGAAACATAACGACTTTTTTTTCCTCGAAGACACGTTTCTACAAGGGGTTTTTTCTCTCTATCTAAAGACCAAGTATAATAGGTAAATTCACTTTGCAACTTTCAAATCCTTCCCCTCTATTTGTTTTCAATGAATCACCATCACCATTACCATTTGAAACAAGGATGAATGAAAAAGCAAAAAGAGACAACAAATTATGATTTGGAAATAACTTCACAAGAACACATATAGAGAGATAACAGGGGGTTTCAACCATTGTCTCCACAGAATCTATGCATGCAATACTCTTCTCTTTGCATTTTTTTTTCAATTTGATCACACGTGTAGTTGGAGGATTGATATGATGTTGAAACATGAGTGTGGGCATCAACAAGGACGAGTTGCTAGTGTAGTTAGTTGATTTATCTATTACATTATTTTATTTTTCTTTTTTCTTTCGGACTATTACGATCTATAAATTTTTTTGTTAATAATCTTGGCCGCTTCGAAAGGACATAGTTCAATTTCTAGTTATATATTATAACCAAATATGTAACGAAAGTACACACTACTTTCCACATATCAAGACTGGTTTTGGTGGCCGTTTTCAATTCAATTATCTCCTCCATCTCTTTCTCTTTCTTTGTTTCTTTGGCGATCCCGATTCTCTAGCTCTTTTCACTATGACCGCTTTTTTCGCTCACCCGGTCGTGCCCTAAAAACCTAGATGTAAGCTTTCTCCCATTCTCTTTCCCTCTGTGTAAATCTCTCATCATCCCTTTTCTTCTTCATCATCTCAATCAATCATCGTCCATTAGATTAGCTCTTTCGATGTTTGGCCTAACAATCGACCTTTAAAGTCCCTTTACCCCCTCTCCAACCCTTTCTTTCTCCAATAACACCCTTCCCTTCCCCAACTTCAACTCGGTCGTTTGATTCTTTGTCTTCATTTGGGTTTCTTTTTGTCTCCCAAGTTTTTATCCTTTTTTCTCTGAATTTCCAAATTTTCGTATTTATTTACCTTATTTTCAATTTTTCCCAATAATCTACTTTTAGGAAGCTTCAAAAGATATTTTCCTTCTAAAAAAGAAAGCATCTTCAATCTTTATCTGGGTAGTCTTCTTATTTGCTTTCATTCCGCTCTTCTTTTCTCTTCTTTCTTATTCTTATTATGTCCTTTCTCTTGGGTTTTCATTGAATTTCTCATTTATGGGTTGTTTTGTTTCTTCATTTGATGATAAAATTTGTAATACAATGTGATTTGATGATTAAGGATATCCTTCTTTTGTCAGGAATATTTCATCTTGTATTGTTGGGAGATCAAAGATTGACATATTTAATATCATTAGAAATGTTATTGTATGTGTTTGAATTATGTAGATCAATTTCTTATCGGAGTTTGAAATACATGTTTGAGGGATTATTTTAGGAAATCATGTTGTCAAAATAGTGATCCATTAAGTATTTTTCTCCCAATTTATGTGAATAAAGTCTTATGCAATTGAGCTTGTTTCAACGGTTTTCAGGATGGGAAGGGTTAAGCTAAAGATCAAGAGGCTAGAGAATACAAATAGTCGCCAAGCAACTTATGGAAAGCGAAAGCACGGTATATTGAAGAAGGCTAATGAGTTGTCAATATTATGCGATATACCCATTATCCTTCTTATGTTCTCACCAACTGGAAAGCCTTCATTGTGCAAAGGAAAACGCAGGTATGCTTTTTTATGTCATGCCCTTATCTTATAAACCATTTGTAGGATTGTTATGGTGATTGTAGGCTCTAGTTTTGCTTGTCTACCATTCATTGATTGTAGGCTCTAGTTTAGTGATTACTCAGATGAATAATTTCAAAGTTCGAAGTGTAAATGAACCCACTTCAAATGGTTTATTACTCTAGAATCAAATCTCATTAATGCAACTTTAGATTTGTGCTTATTTCTACCTTTGTGATCCAATGATGGGGATGAAGAAGCCCAAACTATATTGTAAGGATCTTTCTGTAGTTTTCATGGTTTATCATTCATTTGGCTTTCTTGATTCTAATCATCAATGGACGAAAACCAATTTTCAATTACCTCTCTTTCCTTTTCTTTTTTGAAGCATGGAAGAAGTCATGACAAAATTTGCTCAGCTTTCACCTCAAGAAAGGACAAAAAGGTATGGTAAACTTTCTCATATTTTTTATCATCTAACTTGCACATAAAGATAATAATTACAGGATCGAAAATTAATGTGCGTGCCTTTCTTTTGCACTAGGAAGTTGGAAAGTCTCGAAGTAAGTACTATCTGTTGGTGAAAGTTCACACTAGCCAATTTCACACCTTTCGATTTTAAAAAATATTTTGTTTCTCCTCGGGAGTATAGGCTTTGAAAAAGACATTTAAGAAGTTGGACCATGATGTCAACATACCAGAATTTTTTGGGTCAAGGTATGTGCTTTGCATGATTCACTTCTATGCAAATTATGTAGCTTTTGTCCAATTATAAACTTACTCGTACTAAATCCAATTTTTGTTTGTTTTTCAGTTCACAAACAATAGAGGTACATATATGAAAACTATGATTTTAATGATAGAAGCCTCTCTTGTTGTCTAGGATGTCAATGTTTGTCTCACTTTGTCTCACTTTGATTTTTCAGGAACTTACAAACCAATCAAATCTATTGCATAAACAACTTTTAGAAATGCAGAAGAGATTGAGGTATGTACATGGTAGTTCTTTTTCCCTAAAAGCAACAATATATTCTTTGCTTTTCTATTATTTGAATTGTTTCATGTATGAGTTGTTAATCTTATGTGAGAAGTATCTACCAAATAGCGATATATCTTTTTTTACTTGGTAATTTGTAGGTATTGGACTAATCCTGATGAGATCGACAACATTGAATTATTAGGCCAGTTCGAGAATTCCGTACAAGAGTCGCTTAGTCGAATTCGAACACATAAGGTATCTCTATTGTGTTGCTTTCAAGATTAAATTTAAGTATATTTTCACTGAAGGAGAAGGCCTTACAATGGGAAATATAAATAAATAAAAATACACTCTTCTTGGTCAGGATTGTTATTAATGTCTTCTTAGGATTTCGATGTTGTGTTGATATAAACTATTTGTCATTGCCAGGAAAATGTAAGACAACAACAAATGGAACCTCTAGAGTGCAACAATCAGGTAAACATGTCGATTTAATAGTCGATAGATAGTTCTTTAACAAAGTTTCATATACTCATTATTGAGGATTTTACATGGCTTAAATTTTTATACAGTATCAAAATGGAATTCAAGTACCTTTTGGAATGAAGGTTGAGCAGCAATTCCCACATTTACAATGGCTTTCCAACTCTGACAACCAACATATCGTGTTGCCAGATGATCCAAATCTACTAGCCCATAGGTGATTAACCCTGATCACTACTGAAGACGGTAGTAAAAATTCATTCTACAAATGTTATAACAAGAATAAGGTGACAAACTAGATATAAAATGTTAAAGTGTATAACTTTCAAGGTAGAATGGATGTCTAAACGAGTCATGATAGTGATAGCGTAGTCAAATTTTGTATTCGTCAGTTAATTTTCTCCACTAATCAGCTCCACTTTGGTTTACTTAGGGATGTTGAATGCTCTGCAAGTTCATCGTATGGGAGTTATTCGGGATACTTCAGCTTAGGAAAAAATTCTGATCTTTCCAATTCTGGACAAGAAAGTGGTGTGAGCGGTATTCTGAATGAGTTAAATTGCAATGCATCTTTGAGGCTGCAATTGACTGGGAACTACCCCTACATTCCGTACAATCTTAATTTGCTTAATGATGGAAAGTTCCAGTCCGCAACAACAGATATTAGCCTGCAAGAAATGCCTGTGGACTTCCACGTTAATGGAAACTTTGAAGCACCCAAACCCACTTATTGCAACACTCCTGGCAGTTGGACTTCCACATCTGGACCCTGTGCTGTTACCATGTTTGATGAGCAATTGTATTCCCAGGTTTAGCTTCCTTCTTATTTTTTTACTATTGTGTGCTCACTCACTTCTCTCTAGAATATTTTCATCTACTCTTGTTAAATTTGCATGCGAATATATTAAGTGGTTCAGATGAGGAAGATATTTATTTGTGTATTGTATCCGTGTGGTCTATCTTTTCTTATTTTATTTTGTTTCATATGTACTATTCTCACCATCTTACAAATTTTTTCAATTGCAGCAACCAAATTGATTTTTTAGAATCAACAAGTGATTGAAGTTTCTCCATGAGCTAGCTTGGTTGTAGATCATCCAGAGAAATAACACAATCAAATATCAGGATCCTCTGCTGGAATTTGGTAAAAAGACATTTATGTTTAATCTTTGCATCAAAAAGATCCACAAACAAGAAGAAATGAGGTGTACACATAATAATACACAATGTAATGCCCTAAAGTGGATGATCATCGGTTCCTGGAAAGATAAATGGTTACCGATCGAAATTAAAGGTCCTCGCTCTTGCGCCTAGATAGTTATTTGAATCATCTTTCATTTGGTCTTCTGTATATATACCACATTGCATAACATTGGATTTGTTTTCCCACTTATCATTTCCGATTTCCATTTGAAGTTTAATTTTGTTTCTCCTAGAGACATGATCACCAAATAGCAGTCAAACTAATATTATCTTCTTGTCCTTCCCACAAAGAATGTCTTGATCAGTTCTAAACTAGAAAACAATCTATTTATCTCCTATCATATCCCTACATATAAAAAATACATATCAAAATATTTGTAACCTAGAAATCAAATCTTATGAAAGCATTTCTTTTCTTGTACTTGTTAATAATATGTTTATTTTTAATATGATGCATTTATTGTAGTTGGGTGCTTGGTATAATGTGTTCCAAATATATTGTGGAATAGCTACTTGGCTACATGAGTAGATTGTATACTATTATATTTGCAATAAAATTCATCGATTGATTTGGTTTGAGATTAGATTGTGAGTTTGATAAAGGAGAACGACATAATAGAGAAAGTTTATGCTCCATGGGCAGCGAAACTACTGGATTTTTTTTTCTCCTTTTGATTTATTGTAATAATTGAGGCCGAAGGAAAATATTGCATGTGCTTGGAGTTTTGTCTTAGACATACAAGGTGGAAGAAAAATAATGAAAATTGGACATATATAATTGTCTATGGCAAACCTTTTACAAGTGATAAAATAGTTTTGTCTATAAAAATTACAACATATTATGAAGAAATTTGTTTCTTATTTTATTTTTAAAAGAAAAATTAAGGTTCATGTAAAAGTATGATATTGTTTTTGACATCTCCTATTCCCTCCTTTTAGATATTTTGACTGAAATAACACAGGTAACCAACTTGTAGGGTGTGGATTTGGTGAACTCCCAATTATTAATTTAAGGACAGTTTAGAGTATTTAAGTTCAATTTAAATGATAAAACTAGTAATACTTTGAACTTTCATTGGGGTTGGCTCACGGTAAAATAGATGACGAGTTATGCAGGTAATGGGATAAGACGATGTTGTTCAGTGCATGTTAGCTTACTAAAAGTAGTAGGTTAGGGAAGGTCTGGTCAGGTCATTATTTTTGGGTTATGGGCCATAGATAATTTACTCTAGTATATGCTAATTTTTCAACTAAACATTACCTACTTTTAAAATGATGTTTAGTCATTACCATTAGCAACACAGTTCTAATTCAAGATTTCAATTCTTAGCCGAAGCTTATAAACCCTTGCAAGTCTACAAAAGGTTTATGTTGAAATTCTTAAAGTTTCTCAGGTCATCCACATCAGCTAGCGTAAATACAATATAGTTAAAATTTTTGTTTTACACAAAATAATAGGCAAACCTTTTTTGAAAATAATTTAATAACCAAATCATCAATTTTGCACCTGATCAACCGTTAATTGACTCTGATGTGACAATTTAATGTACACATTAGCTTATTTTGCTGATGCGACAACTTAAAAAATTAGGGGTTAATAAAATTAAATAAAAAACGGAAAAGGAAAGTTCTTTCCATTCACTTCCACCAAAATTTTCCACCCACTTCCCTCATTAATTTGACCGGAAAATTTTTACAACCAGCCAAATGGCAGATTACTATGGGTTCTTCCATCCCTTTTTTCCCCTTATTTTTAATGCTAATATTGTTGTTTTAAAATTAATAAAACCAAAATACAATTTGACGGCAGCATAATTTTGACGGAACGGGGCTTTTGACGGAACGGCAGCATAAAGCCGCACAGCTGTAATATATATGTTTGTGTATTTGATCATTGGAATCAAAAGCTGCAGTGGTATACTCTGGTTTATTTTATAATTGGGTAAATACAATATATTAGCCACAACTATTATGAAGCGGGGAATTATAGTCACAACTATGAAAATTCAAATTATTAGCCAAACGTTAACTATCTGTTAATAATTTCGTTAGTAATACTGACTAAACTTTTATGTTTTAAAGTTATAAATTAAAAGCATTCTGACTTGGCCACTGCCGTGTCCGATGACGTGGCCTTCTTCGTCAAAAATTCAATAACAGTAACGGACAGTTAGCCATATCTTGACCCGCAACAATAGTTATGACTAATAATTTGAATTTTCATAGTTGTGACTATAATTTCCCGCTTCATAATAGTTGTGGCTAATATATTGTATTTACCCTTTATAATTCAGTGGACCTTCAAATGAGCTAGGTCATGCCTATTCATTGACTGGCTAATTGCTCTGCTTCTAGTCCTTGAATTTGCCATGCACGAGAAACAAGTGTCATTTTTTCATGCTTAGTAAAATCAATTAATCCATCAATTTTGGTAGAGTGCAAAGTATGATTGTCTTTCCAATATCAATCGACGAATTGACTAATTATAACAACTTTAACAAAAATCAGTATTCAATATCATAATTTGATATATTAACTAAGTGAATACTTGATGACAAACAAAGTGAAAATGAACTACTTCTCAATAATTCATTGCAACAGAATTCTTATAGGAAAAACTCTCAAATGTCAACCATGGATTCCCCAAAAAAGGATTGAAACTCGTTCCAAGTATTCAGATAAAGAAAACATGGAGAATATTCCATTGTGCTTGATAAATAAATATTTTCACACTTTCGGATCATCATAATGAGAATTTGCTATTGCATCCTGCAAAACAATGGCATCAATCAAAAGTATTAATAAATAGAATTATAGAACATACATAAAAGTAATTCTTGTTTTCTATATACCTGTAACAATTGAGTATATGACATATTATTGGAATGTATTGTCAAGTCAAAGTGCTCTTCATGAATATATCCTGTTGGTCTAGTAATCGAACTTTGAGATTCATATTGCTCAATCACCACCTACAAAATTTGATATGTCTATCAATAAAACAAGCATATTACACTTTTCTTCTACATAAATTAGAATAAGCTAAAACAATTACCTGACTGTTTTGACCATTAACTTCAGGATTACTGTAAACTTGTTAAGAAGAACTCGTTTTCACTTTTTTACCCTACACATATAATGTCATTTGAAACATAGTGATTACAATCAATATAAGATAATAGCATTGTTTGAAAATGAGAAAAGAAGAAAAAGAAAACCTGTGGCTTTGTTTGACTTTTATGATTTTTTCCGCACTCTAATGCACCTTTCATTCTGCCTTTTGGTCGTCCAACTGTAGCTTTGGTCTGAACTCCAGCTACAATTGGATAATCTTGTTCATCTTTTGAGCATAATGCCTCATCAGAAGTTCCACCTTGTGTGCTTTTTTCATCTCCTGCAGATCTTTTAGCAAATTTGAAAGTACTCCAACTGTGTGCTCGTACATAGTGTCATTCTCAGCTCCTAGGGTGGATATCTCTCGAAAATTGTAATTAAGATTCAAGTAACGCTTCCCAATGAGCTCCTTAGATCCTCCCTGAACTTGAGTTGAACTACTTATTTGTCCATCTTTTGCATCCTTTGTCCATCTCTTCAATATATACTGCTGGGAATGTGCTTTATATTTTTCTTGTCAAGAACTTTCAAAGCATGAGCACATAGAATCCCAACAAAGTCAAACTTTCTGCAACTACACTCAACTCCTTGAGAAGAAAGATGAAATTGGACTTGGTGCTCTGTACCTCTACCAGCATATCTCACTTTACACACCACCTGAACTTCTGTTTTGCTAGTCTTATCAATGGTACAATCCCATACTTTGAGGTATTCTTCTTGGAACATTACAAACACTTTAGGAGTATAGATCTCTACTGCCTGTCTTAGCAGCTCGACATCTGCTCTCAATTTTGGGCGGGTGTCCCTCATTTTGAACTCTGGCAAAAGCTCTTTATAGCGTCTATCTACTACCATTCAACCATAATGCTCAAAAAAGTACACCATGTTGTGTTTTCGCTTCAAGTACTTCTTCAACACATTGTTCACTACGTTGTGTACTCTTCATATCAGCAGTAAACATATATCTCCCATAGCTATAACCTAATTAAATTATGCTGCCTTCCTACGCATATTTAGTTACGAATCAAATCCTACGTACCTTACTTCCCTGCAGCCGTTGGGGATTGAATTTTCTCATCTGTGCGCCTTCTGCTTCTTCGTTCACGATTGGAGAAACGCTGAATCCAAAACTATAACTTAATTAAATTATGCTGCCTTCCGTCAAGAGCCCTGTTCCGTCAAAATTATGCTGCCGTCAAATTGTATTTTGATTTTATTAATTTTAAAACAATAATATAAGCATTAAAAATAAAGGGGGAAAAAGGGGTGGAAGAACCAATAGTAGTCTGCCCTCTTGAGATATGGGTCGTGATAGTAGCTAGTAGCTCCAACCAGGGTTGGACGTAAAAATTTTCCAATTTGCCCTTTTCGCTTTTTTGGTTATTCAGTTCTCCTTTCTTCGACTTTCATTAAAACTTCTAGCCTTCGTTGAGATCTGCATGATTCTGGGTTCCTAGATTTATTTCGGCGTTTCTCCTCGAATTGCTTTGATTTCCCCGATTTGGGTTTTGGTTTGGGTTACCGAAATTCCAATCCTTTCTTCTGATTGTGTGGTGTGGGGATTAGAGAGAAGTGCTTGAAAAAGTGACGGTGTTACTCCGGTGGTGATTGTTCCTTCTTGTGCTTCTTTTGAGATATGGGTCGTGATAGTAGCTGGGGAATCCTTACCTAAGTAAGTCGTCTCATTTGCCAACGCTCTGTCGTCCCCTTCCCCAAAGCTCCATCTCCTTCGGCACAGATCCGACCTGGGACTGCAGGATCAGGCTATTCTCGCGTTTTCCGACGCTCACACGAGGAGGGATGAAGGCGCACTGTTGAGATTGGTTCACGGCTGCAGATTGGATTTGGTTCTATGGTGGGCGACGGGGTTGGGTTTCATCGGAGGGGAGGGATTTCGTCTCTGAGAGAGGGAGTGGAACAGTGAGGACGGATGGATGGATTATAACGAAGATAGAGAGTGAACATAAGGAATTTCCTTTTCCACTTTTTTATTTAATTTTGAAAATAAAATTAATCCCTAATTTTTATTAATTGCCACATCAAGAAAAAATCAGGTGACGTGTACAGTAAATTGCCACTGCCACATCAGAGTCAACTAACAGTTGACCGGACGAAAAATTAACAGTTTGGTTATTAAATTATTTTTTAAAAGATTTGGATATTATTATGTTTAAAGTGGAAAAGGTTTGACTATTATATTGTATTTACTCATCAGTTGTATGTATTTAGCCTATTTCAAACAACACATCTACTATGCTTTAAAGCATTAGTGCTTTAAAGTATAACTTGAAGTTGTACCATAAGAGAATTTGTACTTTTATGTTTAGGTATAACTTTAGTTTGTACTATTATGGGATTTATTGTCACATAGCAAATATCTAACTACTATGGAGGAGGTCGAAAAACACCCGACATCTGATTATACTCGACATAACATCACCTCCCTGCTATCCACACCAGCAGCTATCACAGGAGTAATCTCCATCATCACCTCGCGTCCCACCTGTAAGAAAAACCACACAATTAAAGACATGTCAGCTGCAATCAAACATAACATAACTTCAAAAAATTAAATATGGCTTTACTAACCGCAACACTATCTGTGAACTCTTGACGAGGTGGCTCTCACTCTTAATATGTGGGTGCGAGTGACTCATGTACCACACTAGGTAATCGTCAGTCACCAATCTAGATGTGAACTATGTGCCCCCAGGTTCTTCTAGTACGAATCATAGAAGGGGTAGAAATTGACAAAGTACCCAATCATGGAAGCAGATCGACTCATAGCTATCTCTACAAACTTGATCAGACCACAAAACAAGGTAAGCCTCACACTCACTCAACATCTCCAGCCTCTTCACAAACAAGTTGATCACAGAAGATACATTGTCCTTACTCTTGTCCACAAACAGTGTGGATTCTAACAGCTGAAGAAGGTAACATTGTGCCTCTCTAGCTAGGGGGCCAACCTTATGAAAGTGACACAACCCAAACACATCCAATAAACCATGGCCTATGTACCACTTAGACCTGACAGTCTCTCCCTGTCCAACCTGCGCCCCCTTCCGAAACCTCATTCGTTGCGTCCATAAGTGCTTGCATTCACCCTCCGCCGGCAGAATGTCCAACTAACTCATTCCCCCCCCCCCCCCCATCGCCTCTCCCTCAACTGGAATGCCGAGGATGTGCAGCATGTCGTAAAGAAGGATCATCATAACTAAAAAATGCATGTGGAAGGTGTTGGTGTTCGGCTTACGCCTCTCAACAAATGTCGATATGAGAGCAGTGTCTAGCTCGCTCTGAAAGGTGATATCTGTAAGGTAAGCAAGGCTTGATGCATGCACGATCGTCAAAACGCAAGAATCTAAAGACTCGTAACCCTGTAGAACATGCTGAAGTGTCCTAATCTTCTAGTAGCAAGTGATCACCCCTCTATTAGTCTGTCACGTGTATATATCATAGGCAACATACCCAAGCAATCTACGGAGCAAACTCGAGTCTCTCTGACCTCTAGGAAACGCTCCTCTAAACTCCCATTCCTCTCACACAGAAGCATCATCACCCCTCCGGCCCTGATCATTCTGTGGAGCTCTGTAGAAACATCCCACATGATATCTACAAATCCCAGCAACATCGTGTGACGACCTGCTGGCGTCCCCTCCACTCTAGCCGGTTCACCACGTGGAATACGGTCATCAACAGCATCCAACTTCTACTGCACACACTCATCATCAATCTCTTATGCTGATCACTCATCCCAATGCTATGAGTGGAATGACCTCCATTACCAATCTTACTATGGCATTGAAAATTAACTCAGGAAAGCCATCCACCCTCAATCTCATCAGTGGATGTAGCTGTTGTGGCTATGATTATGGATGTCACTCAGGCTCTGACTGGTTCCCCAACCTCTCACTGTGCTTTGACTTCTTATTTCTCTTTCTCAAACTAATATTACGCCCCTTGAATCTAAGAAACTGATTCAATGTTCCTCTAGAATGGCCAACTAACGCCATCTCTAAACATAATACATTATTATTTATTAACCTCAAATAATTAATAACTATTCTACATTTTATGAAATTAAATTTCTATAGTTTGTTCACAATGTTATTTCTTTTTAATTATTGGTATACATAATTGGAAATTGTGAACATTTATTAAACTAATTATTTAACTAAATATGATAAATAAATTTTTTTAAATAATAAATATGATAAATATTTATTTCAAAGTACTAAATTATTTAATTAAATATGATAGATAAAAATGATTTAATTACTAATTTAAATAATATTTATTTAAATCAGAATTAAAATCTAATTATTAAACAATTAAATATAAATTTAAAATTATTAAAATAATATTCAATTCTACCAAAAAGTCGTTGACGCCGGCTAGGAACTTGTCCAACGCTACACATCCTGTATGAAACTCGAGGGCTATGCACATTCACAAGTCGCCGAGCTACACAAGTGTAGTTGCCTGGCATGGGCCGCTCCTCGTTGTCTTCTTCCTTAATTTAGTCTCAACCTCTCCACCATCAGGCTCGGACTCATACTCACCATTCTCTAGTAAGATCATCACACGCTTGTTCGAGCACTGATTTGCCACATGACCTCGACCTTGGCACCTGTAACACACAATAGTGCTGCAACGTGTGTTAGTAGCTACCTTCTCTTCAGCATATGTGGCCGCTGGCTAGGCCACTGGCTTAAGTTCCTCCTTTTTCACAAATGGAGCTCGAGTTGCACTCGAGGAGGCACTCGTGGGTGGTGCAACCCTCCTCGCATAGCCTCCCTTTTGTTGCTTCTCGACCTTAGTAGCGATCTTCACCAGATCCTCAATCTCCACGTAATGGTGAATCTCCACGACCTCCCTGATCTCCCGATTGAGATCATTAAGAAATTGAGCCATGGTTGATTCTCGATCTTCATTGACATGAGCTCGAATCATCAATGTCTCCATCTCTATGAAATAACCATCCACGCTCTTCGCTCCTTGTCTCAACATGTGCATCGCTTGAGTTGATCTCGTTGATGATGAACGGGTACAAATATCCTCCTCATCGATGACTTCATTTGATGCCATGTCATGATGGGCTCTTCTCCGTTCAATCTCCGTTCAACACCCAACTGGTCCCACCAAACAATGGCATAGTCAGAAAATCGTGGCACTCGAACAAGTACTCCATCTTTCTCTCCCAGTCAAGGTAAGCTTCAGGATCTTTCCTCCCTTGAAATGATGGCACCTTCACCTTCAGCCCCCTCATATCATCATCCCTATGCTCGGGATACTCTTCCTCCTCATAATACTCCTCATAATCACGAGGATTGGGAGCTCTACAAACTTGAACTGGGGGTCTTCCTCCTCGACCTCGACCTCCTCTGCCTCATAGAGGTCTGTGATTTTTGGGACCTAGAGGTCGGCCTCGTCTTCCTCCCGGTGGTATTGGTGGAAAATTGTCCTCCTCCTCCTTCTCCTTGGGGTCGAGATTGATAGCTCGGCCCATTTTATTGAGGCGAGTATTGATCTGATCCTGCCGTTCGCGCATCATCCGAGTAAGACGTCCCTCAAGAGAATCCATGGTGGCTTGTGGAATGCCCTCCAAGTTCTGAACTTTCGGATTGTTGCAAATTTCTCCGTCTCCGGCCATTTAGTTCAGAAACTCGAAACAAGAGGTTATCCATCAATGCTTAAGTTTCAGACTGTTAATATGAAGAAGGTCCTCACAAATTCACTCCCTCATGTGTTTGCACTCAATTGAGATCACTCATTTTCTTTCCACTCATGTTTCACTATATAGAATTGGATTTTACCCGAAAATGAACTCACAAAGCTTCTTTCCACTTCCACTCTGAAACCCTAGGTAAAAACTTCACACTTCCCAAGTAGTCAATAAGAAGCCACTCATGAACAACACACGAAATGACTTTCTTGCGTGATCTGGCCTAGTTCCCGCCTTTTTTTTTTGCTTTGATTTTCGTTTTTTTAATATATTATATGCACGGCTTTTTCCATATGCACGTTACAAGCATGAACAAAACTAAAAACAAGAACTAAAAAAAATTAACCTCTCTTGGCGGCGGTTACGAGCATGAAACCTTCTTTGATTGATTCTCGTACAAGAAAGGAGGATATGTGTGTCACTGTGTTGAACTTGAGCTCTGATACAACCTGATATAAGCCGAGGCTCTAAATCCTGGACTTGAGCAATCAAAAACGCAACAAAGATCGATTACAACACAATGATCACAAACACAGATTAAAACCCAAACCAAATCCACGAGTCGGAAAGAGAGCCAGGTATTCGAAGGACTATTTGGCTAGGGTGATGAGCTAGTAGGAAACGTCGGCTTCCTCTTGCTGAATCGATTCCACGATCAAGAAAGAAGAAAAGAAGTTGGTGTTTGAATAACCAATTCTAGGGTTTGTATTTTTTAATAAAATTATTGATTACCCTCTTAAAGACTTAGATTAGCGTCTTATATAGGCTACAAAGGTTTTGGGCCAAAAATAACAAAGAAACCCGAATTTGGGTGTAAAAGTCTCATAATCCGCAAAGGACAAGTAAAACTCGTCGGCAGCAGTCAGGGTGAAAAACCCGACCTCCCTCCTAAATTCCCCAATCGGGGATTTGGCCTTCAAGGTCTGGGAAAATCTCTGGACTCATTCCCTGGTCTCCTCGTCAGTTACCCAACCAGGTTTTTCACTGTCATAGTTGGGGAATTGGCCTGAAGCGGCCCCAACGCCTATGAGCATCACTTCTCGCCCCAAGAACAAGTTGGCCTCCATTTTGGTGAAGTTCTTGGCCAAATAAGTTTGAAGTCACCCCATGAATGCATTGGCTTGACTTCTAGTGGTCGGACCACGCTCCACTCGCACCAAAGTTGGACTTGAGATCATCTTGTTGTTGATGCCCTCATCAAAAGAGGACTGAAGATATAACCTACTACAATTTAGGCTTGTGGAGTTGAATATAGAGAGAATAAGGATGCAACACAAGTTTTGATACAATGGACCCATCAATCAGACAAAGACCCAACCTGGGAGTTCATTGATGAGTTCAAGAAGAGGTTTCCTCAGTTTCGAACAAGTCAATTGCAAAGGGAAGGGGAGTTGTGACGATTGTCCTTGTTTGTAAAGGAAAAGAAGTACAACAGTATAGAATAAGAAGTTAGGGAGTGAGGTAGATATTTTTCCAATGACAATAAGTAGCCCACACATTTCATTGTAACGGTTAGTACTGCAAAAGAGTCGAGTCGAGTTTTTACTTAAATTAAACTTAGCTCGTTTAAAACTTTCTCAGCTCGAGCTCGGTTCGAACTCGAATTTTGTTAATCTAGCTCGAGCTCGGCTCTATTAAAAATAATCCAACTCGAGCTCGACTCGGTAGAGCTTGGTAAATGCTCATTAACTCAACTTGTCAAGCTGGGTACAAGCTCGGCTCAAGATGAGCTTGATTTGAAATTATTCTTGCTGAAAAATATGTACACATAAGAGTTTAAATGATAAAAAGAACAACAGAAACTATAAATAACAGCTAACTTTCATACACATCCTTATTAACAAGATAATGTTCATGTTCAGAAGAGTAATTAATCCTTCCACAAGCTCTAAACAAGCCAGCTCGGGAGCTTAGCTCAACAAGCCATCGAATCAAGCTAGCTCACGAGCTTATCAAGCTGAGCATGGTCTAGCTCAAGCTTGGCTCTTTTACCGCGAGCCGACTTGTTAACTAACTAGTCGAGTGTCGACGAGTTTTTTCCAATTCGAACGCCGAGTTGCTCGCAAGCGGCTTGGCTCATTTGCAGCCCTAGTAGCGGCCATGTGAACACTAATAACAAAATTTCCCCAATTCTCTCTCTCTTTCCCTCTATTTCAATTATTTTCCCAACTTTTAAACATTTTCAGGATGGACAACGACGATCAAATCAGGGAGTCACATCTAACTCCCCCCCCCCCCCCACAATTCCATTCCATTCCTCTCCTCTTTCTCTTACTGACCTTGTATTCAATTCCACCCCCTATTTTCCCAGTCAAATTCCCCACCATTTATTGAAACTCTGATCTTGTTGTTCATACAAGCTGAGGCGAGCGGGATAATACAAAGGTTGGATCGAGATTCGCGTGGCAGAGTTTGATCTCCAGGACTCCGAGACGAAGAGCAATGAGAATGAATTTTTAGAGAGCTAGAGATGGTAGGAGCGAGTAATAGTGGTTTATTCAGCTTAACTACTATTTGTCGCCCATAGTTTGAAAAATATTGTCGTCTTGACTTTATCCCATTTCAAAAACCTAACCCTAATTCAACTCCTCCAACCCCATCCCCATACCACGTGCTGTTACTCCCCTCCCTCCCCACATAACTCCAGTCACCGACTACTGCCTCCTTCCCTCACAGCTCTGCTACCAACCAAGATCTACCCTCACAACTTTGCCGCTGACCAACCGCTAGTCAATCGACCCTGCAAGAGCGTCGTCGGCATTGAAGGAGAAGCAGTTTATGACAACCTCATCAAGCCGCCGCCAATCCACCTCACAAGCTCGTCGCCGACATTAAAGAAGTCAACGCAGTCGCCGTTGAGGAAGAAATCGTCGTCCCTAGAGAATGTTAGAGTTCTTTCTTTCACTTTTTTCAAACGGTCCGACGTTTGTTTTCAAACTGCGGGGACTAGACTGCTTGCCGATTTTCGAACCAGGTATGCGGCTTAATAAAGAAAAGAGATTGAGCAGCGAGAAAACCTATTCCACACTCCTTGCTTGGTCAATGGGAAGTTGTGCTCGATGGTCATAGATGGTGGGAGCTACACCAACGTTGTTAGTTCTGACATGGTGGCAAAGCAAGGCTTGAAGACCATCAAGCATCCACGACCCTATGAGGCGCTTTGTGACGTGGTACCTATGCAGGCTGCCCACATTCTATTGGGACGTTCATGGCCATTTGACAAAGCTGCCCAACATGATGGCAATACAAATAAGTACACTCTGTCTTGCAATGGGCGAACACATACCTTGGTGCCAATGACTCTCAAAGAGGTCTATGAAGACCAAGTGCAGCTGCAACAAATCTATAGGCAAAAGAGGGAGCAAAAACTCGAGTTGAGAGAAAATTCTAGTGACCCTACCCTAGTGAGCCAACCACGAGAGAAAAACATAAATCTCAACTTCGAAAAGAAAAGAACGACGACTGAAGCTCTGGTGAGAAGAGAGAATTTCTTTGCGAGTGGAGGTGAGCTTAAGCAAGCTTTGAACACATAGGAGCCGATGATCATGCTCCTTTACAAGGAGACACTTTTTAGCTCTAACGACCTTCAGCCTTTGCCTAGCACTGTTCAACTAGATTCGGAGGAATTCAAGGATTTGTGGTGAGTTCGAAGGGAATTGAGGTGAATGAGAAAAATATTAAGGCAATAAAAGCATGGCCTACCCCAACTAATGTGAATGAGGTTCGAAGTTTTCATGGTCTTGCAGGGTTTTATTGACGCTTTGTAAAGGATTTCAGCACCATTGCTGCTCCTTTAACCTCGACAATCAAGAAGAACACGACCTTCCAATGGGGTGAAGCTCAACAGAAAGCTTTCGAGCTTTTTAAATATAAACTAAACCATCCTCCTTTGCTGATTTTGCCTGACTTTTCTAAAACATTCGAGATCGAGTGTGATGCCTCTAGTGTAGGCATTGGTACTGTTTGAATACACGAGAAGAGGCCAATTGATTTCTTTAGCGAAAATTTGAGTGGGACTGCCTTTAACTATCCCACGTATAACAAAGAGCTCTATGTTCTTGTTCGAGCCCTAGAAATGTAGCAGCACTACCTCTGGCCTAAGGAGTTCGTGATCCATATCGATCATGAGTCCTTGAAGTACTTGAAGGCACAACATAAGCTGAAGAAACGGCATGCTCGATGGGTGGATTTAATCGAATCCTTCCCCTATGTGATTTCTACAAGAAACTTAAGGAGAATGTGGTTGATGATGCCCTTTCTCGCAGCTATGCTTTGTTTCATCTCTTGACGCTCGATTCATTGGGTTTCAGCATGTCAAAGAGCAGTATGTCAATGATCCTAATTTTGGTGAGTTTTATGCGGCTTGTGAGAAGCATGGTGAGGGAAAATATTATCGAGATGATGGTTATTGTTTTCGTGCTAACCAACTGTGTGTGCCACATGCTTCGATTCGTGAGTTGCTAGTTAGAGAGGCTCATGGTGGCGGCCTCATGGCTCATTTTGGGGTATGCAAGACTTTGGATTGCCTCTAAGAACATTTTTACTAGCCCCACACGAGGAGTGACATGGATAAGGTGGGTTCACGGTGTCTCAAGTGCCGCCAAGCTAAGTCAAAAGTTCAGCCAAACGGGTTATATATTTCTCTCCCTATTCCTACTACTCCTTGGATTGATATGTCAATAGATTTCATTCTTGAATTTTCTATGACAAGGAATGGTAGAGATTCTGTGTTTATTGTGGTTAACCGATTTTCAAAGATGGAGCACTTTATCCCATGTCACAAAACTGATGATGCATC